TGTCATAATCTGACTGTCCTCATACTAATGTCCTATCGTGTTTTTAATCTGACTGTCTTTAGTAAAAATCCTATATGTGATAAACTGACTGCTTCAGAGTAAGTCCTATGTGTTTAATCTGCTTCCCAAAAAGTCCTATGTTCTAACTGACGTCCTCGGTAAAAGCCCCATAGTGTATATCTGACTTCCTCAAGTAATGTCCTATTATGAAATCTACTGTCCTCAAGTATTCCATAGGTTTTTAATCGACGTCCTAAGTAATTCCCTGTATTGATAATCACTGTCCCCCAAATAATTCCTATAGTGTTTAAAACTGTGTCCTCATACCATATCATATATTTTATAAAAGGACTTTCCCCAAGAATGCCAAAAGTTTATATGTGATAATCTTACTGCCCTCAGAGGATTTCTATAGTGTGATTCTACTGCCCTCAGAGTATGCCCTATAGTGTGGGAAAACTGACTTCCTCATAGTAAAAGTCAGCTGGTAATCGTTTCCTGAATAATGTTATAGGTTTTTTGACTGTCCTTGATAACTTGTAAAATATTTCTTTCTATCTGTTTTTTTCTTTTTTTTTGTCTTTCCTTCCTGTCCCCCAAAGTGGAGATCAGCATTGGGGGCAATTATGGTGTCAGTGAGTGTTTTTTTTGGTTTTTCATGTGATTTTTTCACGTGTGTCATGTGATTTTTTCTCATGTGTCAGTGTGGGTTTTTTTGGTTTTGAGTGTGAGTGTTTCTATGGTTTTTGTGAGTTTATGTTTTTTATGTTTTTTATGTGGGGTTCTATGTTTGGTCAGGTGTGGTGTTTCTATGGTTTGTCATGTGAGTTTTCTACTGTGTCGTGGTGTTTTTATGGTTTGTCATGTGGTGTTTTTTATGGTTTTTTGGTGTGATGTTTCTATGGTTTGTGAGTGTGAGTGTTTCTATGGTTTGTGAGTGTGAGTGTTTCTATGGTTTGTCAGTGTGAGTGTTTCTATGGTTTGTCAGTGTGAGTGTTTCTACAGTTTGTCAGTGTGAGTGTTTCTATGATTTGTCAGTGTGAGTGTTTCTATGGTTTGTGAGTGTGAGTGTTTCTATGGTTTGTGAGTGTGAGTGTTTCTATGGTTTGTGAGTGTGAGTGTTTCTATGGTTTGTGAGTGTGAGTGTTTCTATGGTTTGTGAGTGTGAGTGTTTTCTACAGTTTGTCAGTGTGAGTGTTTTCTATGGTTTGTCAGTGTGAGTGTTTCTCTATGGTTTGTCAGTGTGAGTGTTTCTACTACGTTTGTCAGTGTGAGTGTTTCTATGAGTTTGTCAGTGTGAGTGTTTCTATGGTTTGTGAGTGTGAGTGTTTCTATGGTTTGTGAGTGTGAGTGTTTCTATGGTTTGTGAGTGTGAGTGTTTCTATGGTTTGTGAGTGTGAGTGTTTCTATGGTTTGTGAGTGTGAGTGTTTCTACAGTTTGTCAGTGTGAGTGTTTCTATGGTTTGTCAGTGTGAGTGTTTCTATGGTTTGTCAGTGTGAGTGTTTCTATGGTTTGTCAGTGTGGTGTTTCTACAGTTTGTCAGTGTGAGTGTTTCTACAGTGTGTCAGTGTGAGTGTTTCTATGGTTTGTCAGTGTGAGTGTTTCTACAGTGTGTCAGTGTGAGTGTTTCTACAGTTTGTCAGTGTGAGTGTTTCTACAGTTTGTCAGTGTGAGTGTTTCTACAGTTTGTCAGTGTGAGTGTTTCTATGGTTTGTCAGTGTGAGTGTTTCTATGGTTTGTGAGTGTTTCTACAGTTTTGTCCAGTGTGAGTGTTTTCTACAGTGTGTCAGTGTGGTGTTTTCTACAGTTTGTCAGTGTGAGTGTTTCTACTGTGTCGTGGATGTTTCTAGTTTGTCATGTGAGTGTTTCTACAGTGTGTCAGTGTGAGTGTTTTCTATGGTTTGTCAGTGTGAGTGTTTCTACAGTTGTCAGTGTGAGTGTTTCTTACAGTTGTGTCAGTGTGAGTGTTTCTAGGTTTGTCAGTGTTGAGTGTTTTCTATGGTTTGTCTGTGAGTGTTTTCTATGTTTGTGAGTGTTTCTATGGTTTGTCAGTGTATGTTTCTACAGTGTGTCAGTGTGAGTGTTTCTATGAGTTTTGTCAGTGTGAGTGTTTCTACAGTGTGTCGTGTGAGTGTTTCTACTAGTTTTGTCAGTGTGAGTGTTTCTACAGTGTGTCAGTGTGAGTGTTTCTATGTTCAGTGTGTCATGTGTAGTGTTTTTCTACAGTTTGTCAGTGTGAGTGTTTCTACAGTTTGTCAGTGTGAGTGTTTCTACTGTTTTGTCAGTGTGAGTGTTTCTAATGTGTCTGTGAGTGTTTTCTATGGTTTGTCAGTGTGAGTGTTTCTACATGTTTTCTGTGAGTGTTTCTACAGTTTGTCAGTGTGAGTGTTTCTATGGTTTGTGAGTGTTTCTACAGTGTTTGTCAGTGTGAGTGTTTCTACAGTGTGTCAGTGTGAGTGTTTCTATGGTTTGTCAGTGTGAGTGTTTCTACAGTTTGTCAGTGTGAGTGTTTCTACAGTTTGTCAGTGTGAGTGTTTTCCATGTTTGTCAGTGTGAGTGTTCTTCTACAGTGTGTCAGTGTGAGTGTTTCTATGGTTTGTGAGTGTGAGTGTTTTCTACGGTGTATTGTGAGTGTTTTCTCATGTTTGTCAGTGTGAGTTGTTTCTAGTTTGTCATGTGTGAGTGTTTCTACAGTTTGTCAGTGTGAGTGTTTCTATGGTTTGTCAGTGTGAGTGTTTCTACAGTGTGTCAGTGTGAGTGTTTCTATGGTTTGTGAGTGTGAGTGTTTCTATGGTTTGTGAGTGTGAGTGTTTCTACAGTTTGTCAGTGTGAGTGTTTCTATGGTTTGTCAGTGTGAGTGTTTCTACAGTTGTGTCAGTGTGAGTGTTTTCTATGGTTTGTGTAGTGTGAGTGTTTCTACAGTTTGTCAGTGTGAGTGTTTCTACGTTTGTCATGTGGTGTCTTCTAGGGTTTTTCATTAGTGGTTTCTAGTGTGTCAGTGTGAGGTTTCTATGGTTTGTGAGTGTGAGTGTTTCTATGGTTTGTGAGTGTGAGTGTTTCTCATGGTTTTGTCAGTGTGAGTGTTTCTATGGTTTGTAGTGTGAGTGTTTCTACGGTTTGTCAGTGTGAGTGTTTTCTATGGTTTGTCAGTGTGAGTGTTTCTACAGTTTGTCAGTGTGAGTGTTTCTATGGTTTGTCAGTGTGAGTGTTTCTACAGTTTGTCAGTGTGAGTGTTTCTATGGTTTGTCAGTGTGAGTGTTTCTATGGTTTGTCAGTGTGAGTGTTTCTACAGTGTGTCAGTGTGAGTGTTTCTATAGTTTGTCAGTGTGAGTGTTTCTCATGTTTTGTCAGTGTGAGTGTTTCTACATGGTTTGTCAGTGTGAGTGTTTTCTACAGGTTTGTCAGTGTGAGTGTTTCTACTGTGTCAGTGTGAGTGTTTCTACAGTTTGTCAGTGTGAGTGTTTCTACAGTTTGTCAGTGTGAGTGTTTCTATGGTTTGTCAGTGTGAGTGTTTCTACAGTGTGTCAGTGTGAGTGTTTCTATGGTTTGTCAGTGTGAGTGTTTTCTATGTTTTGTGGTGAGTGTTTTCTACAGTGTGTCAGTGTGATTTTTTCTACAGTTTGTCAGTGTGAGTGTTTTCTACAGTTTGTCAGTGTGAGTGTTTTCTATGGTTGTGTCAGTGTGAGTGTTTTCTATGTTTGTCAGTGTGAGTGTTTCTACAGTTTTGTCAGTGTGAGTGTTTTATTTGGTTCATGTGAGTGTTTCTACTAGGTTTGTCAGTGTGAGTGTTTCTATGGTTTGTGGAGTGTTTCTACAGTTTGTCAGTGTGAGTGTTTCTAATTTCGTGGAGTGTTTCTATGGTTTGTCAGTGTGAGTGTTTTCTAGGTTTGTCAGTGTGAGTGTTTTCTAGTTTGTCAGTGTGAGTGTTTTCTAGGTTTGTCATGGTGTTGGGTGTTTTCTACAGTTTGTCAGTGTGAGTGTTTCTATGGTTTGTCAGTGTGAGTGTTTCTATGGTTTGTCAGTGTGAGTGTTTCTACATGGTTTGTCAGTGTGAGTGTTTCTATGGTTTGTCAGTGTGAGTGTTTTTCTACAGTTTGTCAGGTGTGTGTTCTAGTGTGTCAGTGGTTTTCTACAGTTTGTCAGTGTGAGTGTTTTCTACAGTTTGTCAGTGTGAGTGTTTCTATGGTTGTCGTGTGAGTGTTTTCTCATGGTTTGTCAGTGTGAGTGTTTCTCTTTCGTTGAGTGTTTCTATGTGTGAGTGGAGTTTTTCTACAGTTTGTCATGTGAGTGTTTTCTACAGTTGTCAGTGTGAGTGTTTCTATGGTTTGTGAGTGTTTCTACAGTTTGTCAGTGTGAGTGTTTCTACAGTTTGTCAGTGTGAGTGTTTCTACAGTTTGTCAGTGTGAGTGTTTCTACAGTTTGTCAGTGTGAGTGTTTCTACAGTGTGTCAGTGTGAGTGTTTCTACAGTGTGTCAGTTTGAGTGTTTCTACAGTTTGTCAGTGTGTGTTTCTACAGTGTGTCAGTGTGAGTGTTTCTATGGTTTGTGAGTGTGAGTGTTTCTATGCTTTGTGAGTGTTTTCTATGGTTTGTGAGTGTTTCTATGGTTTGTCAGTGTGAGTGTTTGTGTGTGAGCTCATGCTGTGGGTGTGATTGAGTTCTCTCCCTCCCTCTCTCCCCCCCTCCCCCTCTCCCTCCCTCTCCCCCCTCTCCCCCTCTCCCCCTCTCCTCTCCCCCCTCTCCCCCTCTCCCCCTCTCCCCCTCTCCCTCCCTCTCCCCCTCTCTCTCTCTCCCCCTCTCCCCCTCTCCCCCTCTCTCTCTCCTCCCCCCTCTCCCCCTCTCTCCCCCTCTCCCCCTCCCCCTCTCCCCCTCTCCCCCTCTCCTCCTCTCCTCTCTCTCTCTCTCTCTCCCCTCCTCCCTCCCTCTCTCCCCTCTCTCCCCCTCTCCCCCTCTCCCCCTCTCCCCCTCTCCCTCCCCTGTATCAGTGTGTTTTTGCTACAGCCCTTCTATGCCAGACGGTGGAGACGGCGTTATGACCTGTTGAGCAGCACCACCATGTGGCTGGTGGTGGGAATAGGTTCCTCCCCCTTTATCGTCATATACCAGCCTTATACCCAGCCCTAACCCCAGCCCTTACACCGGTAGTGCCAGAATCAGCCCTATACCATACTCAACACCCTACACCTTACCTTACACCAGCTCCAGCCCCATCGACCGCTGTTTTAAGGACCTACTCACCGGGAAACTGTCACTGCCCCTGGTGGCAGCCATGATGGTGTTTCAGGGTATAGTGTCCCACTGCCCCACGGTGCTGGTGGTACGTCAGGGTATAGTGTCCCACTGCCCCACGGTGCTGGTGGTACGTCATTTCCACCCTGTTTCTCTGTGTGTAGCCAGTCTTTCCTGCTGTCTGAACCCTCTGTTATATTATTTATTCCCTGCAGAATTCAGACAGCACCTCTCCCAACGCACCTCCTCTCCTCTCCTCTCCTCCTCCATCAGGGAGCGGCTCATGATCCTGGAGAGCACCTCCTCTCCTCTCCTCCTCCATCAGGGAGCGGCTCATGATCCTGGAGAGCACCTCCTCTCCTCTCCTCCTCCATCAGGGAGCGGCTCATGATCCTGGAGAGCACCTCCTCTTGTAGGGAGTAACATCTCCTTTATGGAGCACTTTGTCTCCTCCTCCTCCTCTCTTACCCTCTCCTCTTCTTCCCCACCCCCCCCCCCCCCCCCCCCCCCAAAAGAGACACAAAGAGACACTGAACTCTGACCCTAAAATATGATGTGTCTGTCTGGACTGTAACAAGCTGCATTTAGTTCAGTTAGAGATAGACAGGACAGTAGAGCTTCACAGAGAAAATGAGTTCAAGTCAAGTTTGATCTCACCAGCTATGTTACTATACTCAGGTCAAGTCAGATGTGTTTTATGTTACTGTAAGGTAAACTGCTGTTGTTTGAAGGGAACTCTTATAGCTAAATGTGCTAAAACAGTAAGATGCAGACAGACAGCCTGGGCAATTGTATGAATAAGCTGCTGTTGTTTGACCATGTTGTAAATAAAGAGCAGCTTGTATCTCAGCCTGACCACTGGTTTTAATACTGCTTGTTCACATGAAGTAAAGCCATATCTCAGCCTGACCACTGGTTTTAATACTGCTTGTTCACACTGTTACGCGGAGAGGAACAGGGGAACCTAAGAGCAGACTCAGACGAGGAGACTGGGATGAAGTAACCAAGGTATTTATTGAGACACCGGGGGAAGATGGAGTGCAGGTCAGGGGAAACTGCTGGAAACCAGGTGCGGAGGCTGAGGCTGGAGCGAGGGGGGTTGAGACAGGGTGAGCATGTCCGGAGGGGAAGCCAAGGGAGTAGTAGAGTGGGGAATCCAGGACAGAGTAGCAGGATGACGAGACGTGGGACTGGAGACAGGGACCAGAGTCGGAGCGGGCAGAACTGTAGCGGAGAGGAAAACAGGGACAACAGGATAACACACGAACCGGAGACTGACTGAGCAGAGATTACGATCTGGCCGTGTGGAAGTGGCAGGACTGAGTATTTGTAGAGGTCTTGATTATGGAACAGGTTCAGCTGGAGCTGGCTTTGCTCTGACTCCAGCACACCTGTCTACGCCCACACAATCACAGAGACAGAGAGAGACAGAGAGAGACAGAGACGGAGAGAGACAGAGAGAGAGAGATACAGAGAGAGAGAGATACAGAGAGAGAGAGATACAGAGAGAGAGATCAGAGTAGAGAGAGAGAAGAGCGAATAAGAGAGAGAGATAGAGATAGATAGAGAGAGAGAGAGAGAGATATAGAGTATAAGAGAGAGTAGAGAGATGAGATAGCTTCGATACTAGACGGTATAGAAGAGTGATGAGTGAGATAGCAGAGATGAGACAGACAGAGAGAGATAGAGATGTACTGGGGATTGTACGGCAGGTCAGGAGACACATGATGAGCAGTAGAGGGCGTTGCAGGAGCAGATGTTGACACACATGAAGTAAACTATATCTCAGATTTACTGATCAACTGGGTTGAATACTGCTTGTTCACATGAAGAAAAGCCATATCTCAGCCTGACCCACTGGGTTGAATACTGCTTGTTCACATGAAGAAAGCCATATCTCAGCCTGACCACTGGGTTTGAATACTGCTTGTTCACATGAAGTAAAGGATGTTTGTGCTTCTCAAAGGTTACTCTTCAAAAGTTTTAGGGGGCTACTGTAGCTGAAAGTGGGGTTTTTGATTGGGGGAAAATTAGAGTTTTGATCTAAAACCCCACCGGAGCTGGGGGCGAGAATGGAACGGGGCCAAAACACAGCACTGGGGAAATTCTTGACGGGACCCCCCTTAGACATGCCACAACACACACCACAAAAAAAACACCAAACCCCACACACACCACACCACCCACACACCCCACACACACACCCCCCACACACACACACACCCACACACACACCAACACCCCCACACCCCCCACACACCCAAAACCCCACCCACACACACACATTTCACTGCAGTCTCTTACTTTTTGAACTGGATCCGGTTTTTGGGTAGGTTTTGGGAGTTTTAACCTTTAACTTTTCCAAAAGCGTTTGGCATCCCTAAATTGACGTCATTGTAAAACCAAACTTTTGCCACACCCCATTCTCCTGTGTCGCCTGCCTGCCCTCCTCCTCAGGGGGGGTCTGAAACCCCCCACCTTCTTTCCTTTAAATTTCACTATTTAACCTGGTCCATAGGGCCCTTTAATAGGGCCCACAAGGGCTCCCCTGGGCTCTACATAGGGGTTCACATACATAGGGCTCTACAAGTTTACTAGGGCTCCCCACATAAAGGGGTCTACTAGGGCTTCACATAGGGCTCCCCCAAAGGGGGGGGGTTCACATTGGCTCTACATAGGGCTCTAAAATTGGCCCCCTAAATAAGGGGTCTACATGGCTCCACATAGGGCCCCACATAGGGCCCACATAGGGCCCCTACATACATAGGGCTCCTTTAGGGGTCTACATAGGGCCTCCCAAGGCTCTCATAGGCTCTACATGGGCTCTACATAGGGCCCCCCACATTGGGGTCTACTAGGGCTCTAAAATACAAAGGGCTCCAAAATGGGCTTTTTTTTTGAAAATAGGGCTTCCCCATGGGGGTCCCACATAGGGCTCTACTAGGGCTCTACCTAGGGCCCACAAGGGCCCCAAGGGGTCCCATAGGGCCCCTTTCTAGGGCTTTTCCCCATAGGCCCCCTTCATAGGGCTCCCCTAGGGCTCTACAAAGGGGGCCCCCATATTTTGGGGGCCCCTGGGGGTTTTACATAGGCTCTACATAGGGGTCCCACATCTAGGGCTCCACAAAGGGGCCCAAACATGGGGTCTACTAGGGCTCTACAAGGGCTCCACATAGGGCCCCTACATGGGCTCCACATAGGGGTCCAATAGGGCTCCACATAGGGCTCCAATAGGCTCTACAATAGGCTCACATAGGGCTCCACTAGGGCTCCCCATAGGGCTTACATAGGGCTCCACTTTGGGGCTTCACCTGGGCTCTACATAGGCCTAGGGGTCCACATAGGGCTTCTAATAGGGCTCAAAAGGGCTCACATAGGGCTCTACATAGGGGTCCCAAAAATAGGGCTCTACATGGGCTTACATAGGGCTCTAAGGCTCCACATAGGGCTCACATACGGGCTCCACATAAGGGGTCCAAAGGGCTCTACATAGGGCTCTACATACAAGGGGTCTACATAGGGCTCCATATAGGGCTCCACATATCTCTACTGGGCTCCACAAGGGCTCCAAAAGGGCTCCACATAGGGCTTCCCCCGGGCCCCTACATGGGCTCTACATAGGTCCACATAGGGCTCCACAAGGGCTCCACAAGGGCCCTTTCATAGGGCTCCACAAGGGTCCATGGCTCCATAGGCTTTTACCATAGGGTTCCACAAGGGCTCCACAAGGGCCCATAGGCTCCACTAGGGCTCCCCTAGGGCTTCCCTAGGCTCTACATAGGTCCTACATAGGGCTCCACATAGGGCTCCACAAGGGGTCACATAGGGCTCCAATTAGGGCTCAATGGGCTCTACATAGGGTCCAATTTGGGGTCCACATAGGGCTCTTAAAAAGCTCCAATAGGGTCCACATAGGGGTACATAGGGCTACTACATAGGGCTCTACATAGGGGTCACATAGGCTCACAGGGCTCACATAGGGCTCACACTAAGGCTCCACATAAGCTCTAACATAGGGCTCTACATAGCTTCCTACAGGGGCCACATAGGGCTCCATATAGGGGTCACATAGGGCCTACTAGGGCTCCAGGGCTCACATAGGGTCCATAGGGCTCTACATAGGCTCCACATACATAGGGCCCAAGGTCACATAGGCTCTAACATGGGCTCCACTTTGGGCTCACAGGGGTCTACATAGGGCTCCAATGGCTCCACATAGGGCTCTACATAGGGCTCCACATTGGGCTCCACATAGGCCACTAGGCTCTACATAGGGCTCACATAGGGCTCTACATAGGGCTCCACATAGGCTCTACATAGGGCCCCCATAGGGTCCCCAGGGCCCCACATAGGCTCCACATAGGGCTCTACATAGGCTCTACATAGGGGTCCACATAGGGCTCCACATATGGCTCAATACATAGGGCTCACATAGGGCTCAAAAAGGGCTCCCCCATCCCAGGGCTCTACATAGGGCTCTACATAGGGCTCCACATAGGGCTGCCATAGGGTCTACATGGGGTCACAAATAGGGCCTTTACATAGGCTCTCATGGGCTCCACACTAGGGCTCCACATAGGGCTCTAAGGGGTCCACATAGGTCTCTACTAGGCTCCCCATACATAGGGACTCACCTGGGCTCCACATGGGCTCTATAGGGCTCTCAAGGCCCCCATAGGGCTCACATAGGGCTCCACTGGGGTCTACATAGGGCTTACATAGGGCTACACCCTAGGGCTCTACATAGGGCTCCACATAGGGCTCCACATAGGGCTCACATAGGGCTCACATAGGGCTCCACATAGGGCTCACATAGGGCTCCACATAGGGCTCTACATAGGGCTCTTTGGGTCCACATGGCCTCCCAAAAAGGCTCCACAAGGGCTCCTACATAGGGCCTATAATGGGGTCTACATAGGGCTCCACATAGGGCTTTACATAGGCTCTACATAGGCCACTAGGGCTCACATAGGCCACATAGGGCTCCATAGGGCTCCACATAGGGCTCTACATAGGGCTCCACCATGGGCTCCAATGGGCTTCTACAAGGGGCCCAAGGGCTTCCTCATCTAGGGCTCACATAGGGCTCCAAATGGGCTCTACAAATGGGCTCCACATAGGTCCACTAGGGGTCCACATAAAGGGCTCAACATAGGCCCCAAGGGCTCCACATAGGCTCTACCTAGGCTCAAGGCTCCAACAGGTCTACATAGCTCCCAATAGGGCTCTACATAGGGTCCACAAAGGGCTCCACACAGGGCTTACATAGGGCTCACATAGGGCTCCACATAGGGCCCTAAAGGGCTCTACAAGGCTCTACATAGGGCCCACAAGGGCCCAATAGGGCTCTACATAGGGCTCCACTTTGGGCTCCACATAGGGCTCTACTGG